TCTCACGGCGTCGTCAAGAGTAAAAAGCATCGACGATGGATCATGTGGATCCGTCCACTAGAGCAGGGCTCACCTTACGTGGGTGAGCCGCGCCCCACCGACGCCGTGGTCGGGATGACTCCACCGACCCCAAGCGCCACTAACCCTTCTCGCCATGACATCCCCTCCGGCGACGGAAGGGGTCAGTAGTGTGGACACGAACCTCTCTCCCAGCACCACGCTAGGCACCATCACTTGGGCCACCGATGGCATGGGTCATGTCGATGCCTTTAGGCGACATCTGTGTGGTTGCGCCCGGACTATGACCCATCTCGCCATGGTCGCCGCCACCTCCACTTGCGCTCGGCGGGGTCATGACCGCCACGCCACGCCCGCCACGGTCAGCGCCACGAGCACAGTCGGTAGCCCCATCCATCCCACCGTCGGCAATGGTATCATGGCCATCACTAGCTCCTCCGCAACCTCTGAAGGTGCCCCTTGGATGCCCGTGTCTGCCCATCCTGCCGAGGGCTCAGGCACCACCGTGAGCGGCGCCTGAACGTCCGGCGATGCGGTCACACTGGCACCGCTCTCGCTCGAAACGGGCATGACACCAGCCGATGGTTGTAGCCTTGATTGGAGGGTGATGCTCTTCTTTGGTGCCAGCGCCAAAGGATTTCACTGCCTCCGACGCTGCAAGGGACGAAAAACATAAGTCACGATAAAATCCGACTAAAACAGGAAAAAACAGAGGAATTGATAACTCACCTCAACGTTGTCGGGCGACAGATGTGTTTGGGGGATGAACCCCCTGATATTTGCTCTGCCTCATCGGAATGAGGTCATTTCGAGCCCACCCCTGCTCTCAAGCGGTAGGGGCTCGCCCCTGGCAGCTCCTAGGGCACACTGGCAGAACACCCTACTCCCCTTGGCTCTTGGGGTGCGACAGCGGAGCCGCCTGGCTCCACTGGCACCTCAATGCATGATGGTAGAGCCACCCATCTCTATTGGCTCCTAGGGGAGGCCGACGGTATGTCCCGCCTCTGGTGGCTCCCCTGACGTGACATCCTCTCCATGGAACGGTAAGGGTCCTGACGTTGGCAAGGACGAACCGACGCCTGTCAGCACATCTTCGTTCTCCAGGTTGTCCCACTCGATATCATCAGCTGCCGATTCTTCTTCCTCCATCACCTCATCATCGTCACCATCGTCATCATCATCGTCGGTGTCCTCCCCTCATTCCTACGCCTGTAGCTTTCACTGCTTCTTCCTCTTCTTGTCCTCCTTCGCTTTCCTCGATCGCCGCCCCTCGGTGCAATTCACCGTCCTCACGGCCCGAATCCCTTGGCGTGGGGGCACGGTGATCCGTGAAGATCGTGTCCCTCGGTTGGTCCCACCTCTCTCAAAGTTAGTCTCACGTGGTCGGGAAATCAATTAAAGAGAAGGCAAAAGAAAGGGAAACTTCTGAAAACAACGTGCTCGGGCTCGCCGCATCGAGGATGCCCGGGCACCGGTAGACGAAGTCAAGGGTGGCACACCCGTCGTCCCGCAATGGTTCCATCACCTACTTGCGTGATCTCGTAGTTGGGGAGCTCCCTTGGCGAAAGGTCGTTACGCTGAACGATGCCTCGGGTGCCATCACAGAGACAGCGGGCTGCCACGCGATCATCAACGGCGCCACCCTCCTTGCGTGGTAAGCCCGATCTCGTTAGACTGTTCTCCCTTCGGGATGTGGATGGCGGCGATGTGGTCTCGAGATCTTCTTCTTATCCTTCTGGGGACGCCCCCACTTCCTCCATCGCTTCCGGGCCTCTTCGATCACACGTCCGGTGAACTCCGGCAGAGGGCGACGGCGTCATTCTTGAGGTAGAACCATCATGAGTGCCACCCCTTATTCGGACGTCGAGAGCGCTTGGCGGATACTCGCCGACTGATTGTTTCAAGTTGGATGCTTGTGCACCCCATTGCCATGTGCAGCTCCTGCCTGTCGCCCTTCTCCTTCTTCTGGAGGTTGACGGCGAAAAAATACCTCCACAAGTCGAAGTGGGGGCCGATCCCTAGGAATCCTTCGCACAGCACGATGAATGCCTCCATGTGTTGGATCCCGTTGGGATTAATATGCTGCAGCTTGATCTTGTAGAAGTGCAGCAGCCCTCGGAGGAATTTGTGGGCAGGCGTCGTGAGCCCATGCTCGTGGAAGTGGGCGAATGACACCACGTAGCCGTCGGGCTACGATGGTAGATCCTTGTCGCCGGGCAACAACCACCCCTCGACCGCGCGTAGAGAAGACTATGACAGACGAGGCCCTCCATGCACTAGAAGGTGATGTTGGAACGGCACCACGAATCCATTAGAGGTGGGGGCGGATGGATGCGAGCTCAACAATGGTGGGGATGTGGAGGTAGGAAACCTAAGCCATTGGCGGCAGTGGCGTGGCTGCAGAGGTAAGGATGTAGGCGTGCGTATGAAACACGGAGGGCTAACCCTTTGGTTTTATAGGGGCGATGGGTGCGAGAAAACCAACCGCCCGCCTAGATCTCCATGCCTACCACGGCCTATCACCACATCTCTCCGTGGGCGTGTACGCACGCAACCTATGGCCACCCCATCGGAAAACTCATCGGACGTTTCGCCTCCCTGAACGGGCCACGACCCGTCATAGGTAAGAGGGATACGGAGCTGAAAATGCTCCTACGGCCCGTCTAAACCTAGGAGTTTGAAGTTGGCCCACCGACGGGTTCAACAACCGCTCTGGGCACTTTTATAGTGAGGGGTGGAAAGGGATGGGCCCGCTAGCGGCCAATACCCGGGCGCACGAGCGCCGCGGGCGTCTCGGTACACGTTCGAGCCTCGCGCATATACGATCCATGGTTTCTCCTCGAAGAAAGACAGAGAGCCCTCGGGACCGATCGAACGGACCTGAGAACTATATGGATTGACCGCTGAGAATCCGGAGTCAGTCACCAGCTGACCCAAGCTAGACCCCCGCGAACAAGATGTCTGGGCCCCACTCGGACTAGCCCGTTAACAACTCACCAAGCACCATGGCTCGTCCATAGAAGAAAATCATGGCAGGCTCATCCCTTCTGTTTTTATCAGAAAAAACGCTTGAGGAAAGACAATCGCGAAGACGAGCCAACCCTTGACCACACCCCTGCTACGTGCGGGGGCTCGAGGAAAGTTGGACTCACAAGGAGACCGAACGCATGGTCACAGAACGACAGACCCCCATAGGGGTCGAAATCAGGAAAGACCTTTTTCGACCCACCAAATCTCACGGATATACCCCTGAGAGGCCCGATCACGACGAAAGGGAATCACTGTCCCCAGGACACGTCGTGGGCAACAAGAAAAGGCCAAGGCCCTCAGAGTCCTCCCCTTCGGAAAAGCCTCTGAAGGAGTATTCTATTCCTCCATAGGCTCGGGAGCTACTGTCGGGGACCAATACTAGGGTACCCAAAGAGTAGGAGCTAATGACCATCAACATTGATTCATCCGAGCAGTTAAGAGCACGCCTACAGCTCCAACCGACCCCAGGCACGATGGCTCCGACTCGCGCCAACCTCTGTGGGCGGGCTCCGCCTCGCCCGACCCTTGGGTTTGTGCTCCACCTCGCCCGACCCTAAGGCCGCGGGATCCGCCTTACCTGACCCCAAGGCCCTCCTCCTCGCCCGACCCTTGGGGTTCATGCTCCGCCTCGCCCGACCTCAGGGCGGGTTCCCCCCTCGTCCCCCCCGAGGCCCCAGGCTTCGTCTCGCTTCGACGGGGACCCATTCCACCGCCAACCACTCTAGGTCCAAGCGTATGGGCTCGGGTCAAAACTCGACACCAAGGAAGAGACCGGCATGCTCTCGATGTAACCTCAGAACCATGATGGGCCATACTTGAGGATTCACATCAAGAATAAATACGTCGAGGCGTCTGCGGTCTGCTCGTCCTAACCCCGTCTGACGGCCGCCGACATATGTCACTCACCACGACGTCCGCTGCAACGGAATGGAACGCCATGACCAGCAGACGACGTTAGCGCATGGCGTCAGTAACGGACAAGGCCACGACGTTTAGCTGTTCCTGTTGACATCTACAGGGTCGGCGGGACCTACATGAAGGATGAGAAGGACCCAGCGATCCTGAAGGATTTCTCTCTCATTCTTCTCTTTTTCATCAGAACCCGTATTTTCCCTTGGCCTATAAAAGAAAAAAAATAGGTGTCCCATGAATGGGGTGATCCGATTAAAACCGATCAATCGAGATCGACATAAGAAGCGCGATGACGCTCAGCACTGAACCGAGCAACAATCGAGCTCTCGGCACCTGGTTCACTTCTTTCACCGAGACTTGAGATCCTTTTCTCTCTCGCCCGCTTGTATCCCCTACTACAAACTTTCAATTAGTAATACGACCAAATATGTGACCAAAGATAAACCTCGTATCCTCTAAGCACACCATCCGAGCCAGACGCGTAATATTAGAAATTTACTCGTCGGTGATAACTCGAAACACCGACACCGGGACTAAACCCATAAGTTGTGGCTAATTCGCGAGATGAATCTATTAAGCCTAATTAATCTATAATTAGACACATATGATGCTACGGTAAATATGTGCTAATCAATGCTTAATTAGGTTTAGTACATTCATATCGTGAGTTAGCTACAACTTATTTAATTAGTTTTTAATTAGCTCATGTTTAGTCTCATATGTAAACATTGATGTGACAAAGATTAAAGTTTAGTTTTGGATCAAAACAGGGCCATGCACCTTTCTCTCTGATACCGCTTCTCCTTTGTCCAAGCTAGCAGTTCAGAATTTACTTCTGTAAGTCAATTTGATGCCTGTTCAGAATTTTTCCTTCTAATTTTTTTTTGCTAGACACCGAAGAAAGAAACGAGGATTTTAAAAGTTGAGGATATTTTTCCCCGAGGAAAGTTGAAGATGATTTGAGCCCGCTCATCCGGCTCCGGGAAAATCCACTTTCCAACATACAAAAGCCCATTGCCATCTTACGAATTGCATGTGTTCTAGCAGCTGTCATCCTTGTAACGTTTAAGATATCCCACAAGCTCGTCCATGTACTGATCCTGCCGTCGCTGATCACGGAGAGCTTGCTTCAGCCTCTCCGCGTTACTCGCGAACACCTTTCCCTGTTCCTCCACCATGACGCTCCGCACCGCCGCCGCGACGCTGTCTCCTGCCAAACGAGCCGTCTCCCTCGTCCCTCGCCACCTCCACGCCGACGCCCCGCTCCGCCATCGTCCGTGCGATGAGGCCCTGGTCGACGACGAACGGCAGCATGACCAGCGGCCGCTCGAACAAGAGGCTCTCGATGGTGGAGCCCCACCCGCAGTGCGTCAGGAACGCGCCCACGGCGGCGTGCGCGAGAGCACAGCCACCTGTGCACCCAGCCCGACCACACCAGGCCGTGACCCCGTGTTCGGTCCTCGAACCCGGCAGGCAGCAGCTCGGCCACGTCGGTGTTGGTGGGCGCGGACATGCCGCTCGGCTTCCGGAAAGCCCATAGGAAGCGGACGCCGGCGAGTTCCAGCCCCAGCGCGAGCTCGTGCAGGTTGCATGCCGTCAGCGGCGCCTCGCTCCCAAGCGCGACGTAGATGGTGGACTTTGGTGGCTGCCTGTCCAGCCATTGAAGCACCTCGGAGCGGACACCAGCTGAGCGGGAGCTGCCGTCGCCATCGGCAAGGTCGGGCTGCAAGAGGGCCCCCGGCGGGGATGGCCGGCTTGCGGAAGAGATCGGTGAGGAGCGCGAACACCCCTGGCTCGACCTCATCGCAGCTGCGGTAGATGGTGAAGCGGGCGCGCTCTATGATCTGCCACATGCGTTCTATGTCGGACACCCCGGACGCGTTGGGCTGGAACGCGTCGACGGCCCAGCCGGCCTCGTGTCGGCGGTAGGCGACGGCGGAAGGGAACGACGGGCACCACCTGGGCGGCGCGGTGAAGTCCTCCAGCGTCGTGCGCGGATGCGCGGCCTGCGCCCACCGCGGGCCCAGGAACGCGATCCAGGCCGCCTGCACGATCAGGAACGCGGCGCACGGCACCCCGTGCGCCTCGGCGATCGCGGGGAGCCAGTGGTGGCAGAAGTCCATGACGATCCAGTCGGGCCTCCTGCTTCCACCGTCGTCGGCAACGGCGTCCGCGAGAACGCTGCGAACGGGGCGGCGAGGCCGTCGAGCGCCTTCTTGAGCAGCTCCTGCTTCTCCGGCGGCACGTCGGCAGTGGACTCGGCGCCCTCGGGCAGGCCGTCCACGACGGGCGCGGGCAGCGCCACGAGGCGCACGCGGGGCGACAGGTCCGCCGGCACGGGCGGGAGCCTGGCGACGTTCCTCGGCGTGGAGAGGAAGGTGACGGCGTGGCCCCTCGCCGCCAGGCGCTTGGCGAGCTCCAGGTACGGGATCATGTGGCCGAACGCCAACCACGGGAACAGCACCACGTTCAGCTTCGCGCTGGCTGCCGCTTCATCCATCTTCGATTCTTCGTGCTTGAACAAAGCCGCAAAAGCTGAATGTGTGTAAATCATGAGGGTTTGGACTTTTGGTGGGGTTTAAAGGGACTGTAAATATATAATAAAATACAGAAGTGGTTGATACATCGCTCTAGTTGTCGCCTTTCAGCATTTGCATAACATCTCGCGCTACACGTGGCCTCATATTTTAACTTCAAATATGAAATTATGGCTGTGGCTTCGTAGGGCTCGTGCCTCGTGGCTTTGAAAAGCGCAAGCGGTTTGTAGGATTGGACAACTGAGAACGATTGATCACCTGTTTGGATGCCGGAATACAAGTTTCAAACCAGTTCAGACGAAAGTCCATGGTAAAAAAAAATCATGCGAGTTCGAAGTATGCAAATTTCATAATAGCATTCACAGGTAGGCAAGGCACAGAAACTTTCAAGCAATTTTCAAGCGACCTGTAAACTGAAAACAAGGTCTGGAGCTGTTGCAGATGAAGTTCACTATCGGTCGCAGATCTTCAGCATGTTTCACAGTCACATTGGTGTCCAAGTCCAAGCCTTCCAAGGTTCAGGCACACAGCCCCTGCTCGCGCAGCCGATTCGCCGGTGCGCCGCCGCCGCCTGCTCCATAGGCCGCAGCGCCTTCCTGCCTGGAATGAAGCGCAGAAGACGGCCCATTCAATCTCATTGGACCTCGCCATACTCTGAAGAAGACGCATGGTCGGCCCCAGCGCATCATGCAAACGGCGGTTCTTCCCGTAGGCCCAGAACGGCTTCCATGCGGGCCCGGGTTCTGTTTGGGCCACGGTTTCTGTGGAGACGAGACGGCAGGGGGACCAGAGAGCAGTCCACATCGTGCCGCTTGGCCTGTCGCTGATAGTGCTGTGCCTGAGCCGCCGCGTGGCCGTGGTCTGTGTGCATGCCAAAAGAACGGTCTCCGGTTCGTTGCAAGTTTTAGTTGCGTGTCAGGGATGTTTTAGTCGTTGTTCTATTAAATATTTGACATATGTACGGTCTATTAATATAGACTAATTATAAAACTAATTACACAATTTGCGATTAATTTACGAGACGAATCTTTTATGCATAATTAGTCTATGATTTGACAATGCGGTGCTACAGTAAACATGTGCTAATGACGGATTAGTTATGCTTAATTAATTCGTCTCGTGGAGTACTGACGTATTTTGTAATTTTTTTTTTTTATTAATATCCTAATATCCCATGCGACACCCTTATGTGATATCTCCTAAATTTTAGTCTCTGAATCCAAATACCTCTTTAAAAATGAGGTCTAGGTTTCACTGTACACAACTGAAAAAAAGGTTTCATTACACATCCCTGTGGTTCGATTCCTGGAACCAACCCAGGAGCCTCGCCTCGAAGATTTATTTTTTTGTTAATAATTTCAGTTGCCTCTCACACAGATATACCATAATGGTCAAGTCACGTGCCCGCCACGCTCGAAGTCTGGTGATCTTCGAGTATCTCTCAGCTGCGTTCGTTGTCTAAGTATAGTTATAGGTTTGTTTGTATACCGTGTGTGTGGTGGTGTGTGTCTGTATCCAAACGGATACTACAGCTATACTTAGAGACGAGAGGCCAAAAAAAAGTACTTAGGAGATAAACCTGCCGACCGCCTGCGTTTTTTCTCTTCTCTTCGAAATAAAACAGTGAACAAGTGGTCGACAAACTCGACATGCGATATTATCTTCTACTCCTATGTGCACACTGTACACAGTGTACGGACTTACGGTGAAGCGTAAGGACGAGTACATTACGGCATGTCAGCGTATCTCGTCTCATGCAGTGTCTTAGGAATTTTTTTTCTGATGTGGAAGAAAAAGAGAGGGGAGAGAGAAATAGTTCGTTGTTTCACAAAACAACCACCTCATGAGCTAAAATTCAGGATTATAAGACAACACCATTGTATGAGTTGCTGTTTCAACTCACAACTTTACTTTTATTTTATGCATAAATTAAGGAAATTGTGAGTTACTGTGACACAATTTAAAAAACAACCATTTTATATGTTATCCATTAAGTTGTCTTAAAATTACGTTGGCACAACATAAGACGACTTACTCTTTCTATCCAAAATAGAAGACTTTCTCGTTTTTCGAGAAGTCAACATTTTTAATTTTGATCAATTATATATAAAAATATTAATATTTATAATACGTAATTATTATCTTAGATCGTTGAATATATTTTTATAATTAATTTATATGAAAATATAAATGTTGTACGCATCTCATAACGTCTCCCTTGCTCGCATGGAGGGAGTACGAGACAAGAGGAATGTACCTGCCCAGCGGCCATGCCACGTCTCCCGGCTCCTGAGCTCGTAACACTGTACCGTGCAACTTTCACACCGAGACGCGACAAAACTTGCTAGTGCTTGCTGAAGAAAAAAGATCGATACGAGTATGCGACGCCGACGGCGCGAGCCGCCATCCACGGTCCACTCAGGCCACCCCGAACGCTCCAGCAGGGATAGTGGTCTCATGACGCCACGTCGGGTGAAGTGAAGCTCTGCTGGAGGAAAGAGAAGGAAAAAGTACGAGTAGTGGCTGGTGAGATAAAGCTGCTACGTCTGGACATTTCTTCTTTCTTTTGCTGAGCACAGCAGCTTTTGGTTTTCTTTTGAAGCTGTTTCGTGTCATCTTCTTTTAGCTGAGATCACCAATACTGTGTGCTTGCGTTGAACCTGCTCTCAAGGCTCCAACTGGATCCTTCTGCAAACACCACGCATCGCATTCGCGTTCGCATTCGCACGACGCGCCGGCAGCAGCCTGGCACTCCGCGGGCCTCCACCATGAGGCCACGAGGGCCTCACGCGCTCTCCGTCGCGATCCGGCAAAGCCCTGACGACTCATGCCCAGACCAGCCTCAGCCACTGACACTCCGGCCCATCCGAAGTGCCGCGTCACAGGGACCGACTCGTCATAAGGCGGCTGGCGCTCGACAGGCGGAGACAACGAGCCAGATCCGATTGCAACTACTACTAGTTTGCTACCCAACCCGGACGACCAGAGTAAAAATTACGAAAGGAACTAGCGCTTGCCAACGCACAACGGACAGCGCGGCGGACGGCGACACCCTTCTCATCTCGCCCCGTCTCCTCCAGGGGCGGCCGCTAGAAATACTCCCACGCTGACGCGCTCGCACGAGCCGCATCGCATCCGTAGCATCGGGATCCCTCTGGCCTCAGGGACCGGGCTGCCCAGCCGCTCGATCGACGTCAGCGAGGAGGCTGGTTCGGTTGGTTGGATCGGAGGCGCGGCGACCGGCGATGGGGGCGCTGTCGCGGCCGGAGGAGGTGCTGGCGCTGGTGAAGCTGCGGGTGGCGGCGGGGCAGATCAAGCGCCAGATCCCGCCCGAGGAGCACTGGGCCTTCGGCTACTCCATGCTCCAGAAGGTCTCCCGCAGCTTCGCCCTCGTCATCCAGCAGCTCGGACCCGAACTCCGCAATGCCGTCAGTACCAACTCGCTTCACCTCCCTCTCTCTTTTTTTTTTTCGTTCCACGCCACACGAATTCGTTTGCGCCGCCACTTGGAGTCCTATGCGTGGCGCCTATGATTTTGTTCGCTTTCGTCCCAACAATTTTGGTGTACGCGTGGGCGTGCGCGCACTCCGTGTGGTGTTTTAATGTCTGTTGTTGCGATCGCGCAGGTGTGCATCTTCTACCTCGTGCTCCGTGCCCTCGACACCGTTGGTCGGTAGTCTCATGCCCTTACGCTAGTGCTATTGGTTTTTAGCTTAAGCTATGATGTTTTTGGAATGTTTTGAGGGGGGTTGTGATTATTAAGTGCTAATTATTTGACGGCTGTAGAGGTTCTCGTTATAACAGTAATAAATAAACTATGTTCAATGACTGCAGAGGATGACACTAGCATCTCGACCGAGGTGAAGGTGCCCATCCTCCAGGAATTCTACCGGCACATCTACAACCGCGACTGGCATTTTTCGTGTACGGGATCTGTCCTCTGAATATGCGGCTCTAGTTCACCAAAAATGGGCCTTGTCGTTCTTTTTCTAGAAGAGATGCCGACTGATGTGTGTGGCTGTCCTTGCAGGTGGAACAAATCACTACAAAGTGCTGATGGATAACTTTCACCACGTATCCACAGCCTTCCTGGAGCTTGGTCAAGGGTAACTTTATTTCTTCCCTGACTACTTCCCCAAGTCCTTGCTGTCCTTACTTTGATAATTTGACAACTTTTACAAGAAGTATTTGACTTTTCTAACTATCGAGCTTTAACTTGGTAGTACGGTAATATATTGCTTGGCTTTGAAATCATTCTCTCATTATCAGACTGCACGAGGGAGCAAATAGCCAGGTTCTGATAGTTACACAAGCAGACAATTTGCATGAGGATAATGTTTGTCTTTATACTTAAACAAGAAAGTGTGCAGTTCCCTAAATTGAATTTAATGCACAGTGATGTATTGTCCAATACTGGTGCTGTATCTAAATCAACCATTTCAGGACTAGTTTTTTTAATGTTGTCATAGTAATACTAATGCAGAATACGTACTTGAAGTTTTATCTCCTTTGATTTTCTTGTCAGATATTACTTTAGTAAATAGCCTTGTGGTAAATAACTATATTTTGTTTTCAGTTACCAAAAGGCAATAGAAGAAATCACTAGGCGAATGGGAGCAGGAATGGCAAAATTTATACTAAGGAGGTCCGTTAACGTATATCCATTAAAGTATCCAAGCGTAGTCACAGACTCACAGTGCTAATATAAATAAACTATATGATTATTTATACTGATGAAACATTGTTATGGTATGTAATACTGTCGTTGCATCATTTTAGCATTTTATAGGATCTGGATGTTTTTGTCAGGAATATCATTATGAGTTTTCATGACTTAAGAATGGAAGTACGCCGCGTGTATAATGAGTATATTCCTTGAATGAACGCCAATTGCATTTTACTTGCATCCAATTCATGACCAAAGACCACTTTTCATGCCAGCACACCGTTGTGCCACATTTCTCTGGTTACCGCTCAACATGCAACTCCAGTTTCTGGATGAGTGGATACCATATCAATGGGTTGTCAACTTGTAATTGTGACCGCTTCTCTATATGAAAATATGTTTCCAGGCTTTGCGGCTTTCAAACATGTTTCCATTACATTGTATGTCATGATAAAACTTTCTCATTGATAGCTTGTGGCTATCATCAAACATGCAGCATGGTTTAGATGGATCTGGATAAATAAAAATTATCTGCTGTCACATTTTCATGGTATATAGTCATACATGCGGAAAAGTGATTTTATATCCTGCATTGAGTATAAGGCAGCAAGGAAACCTTTATTCTTTCAGCGAGCATTATTTAGTAGTCCTTGATTCATGGGAAAACAAGGAGAAAATCCATGTGCTGGTTACACCTACAGTTCTATATATGTGTTGGCTCAGTATTTCTCTGAACTGATGTGAAGTGTCCTTTTTTATTTAGGTTGAAACTGTCGATGACTATGACGAGTATTGTCACTATGTAGCCGGGCTAGTTGGTTATGGACTTTCCAGACTCTTCTATGCTGCTGGGACGGAAGATCTTGCTCCAGACTCACTGTCAAATTCAATGGGTCTATTTTTACAGGTATGTTAATTGTTGTGAATGAATCAACTGATCCATTTTTTGCTCCCTGTGTGAAATGGAATTTCTGTTTTAACAATTTGTGTCGCTAACAATTATTTGTCATCAAACTGCAGAAAACTAATATAATTAGGGACTATTTGGAGGACATAAATGAGATACCAAAGTCTCGCATGTTCTGGCCTCGAGAGATATGGAGTAAATATGCAGATAAGCTTGAGGTACACAAAATATTCAGCTTGTTTTTACTGCAATTGAGTAGCTTCACGTATGGTAAATGTTCTAAGACTAAATTATCACACATCCAGCAATATTTCTTATTTCATGATATGTGTTATGTGTTCTACCTGTTGGGGCCTGGGGGAGTCCATAACTGCTTGTTACAGACAGTAGCTCAAATATTATAGTGAACAATAAATAGTCAGATGTTATCTACCTAGTCAACCTTATTATGCAGGTTGAACTTTTTGCTGTAGTAATAAATGTTTTTTCTGTGAAACCAGGATTTCAAATATGAGGAAAATTCCGAAAAAGCAGTACAGTGCTTGAACGATATGGTGACTAATGCACTAATTCATGCTGAAGAGTGCCTTCAGTACATGTCAGCCTTGAAGGATCATGCCATTTCCCGTTTTTGTGCAATACCCCAGGTACATAACTTGTTTGACTTTATTTTGCCTATTGAGGACCTAGTTTTTCAACGCTATTCTGGTGCTCCATTCAGAAATCTAGTTCCAGGTTGAACACTGTTATTTAGAATTGTAACTCAAATCTACACATAAACCCTCTCTCAAAAAGTACAGTTAGATGTGTTTGTAGCTCTGGAAAACAATGTTAAAGTCTGCCAGTATTCGTGGAAACTACCTTATAGTCCAGAGTATCTGAGTTAAAAAAAGGGTTTAACTTAAGACTTGTTAATATATCTGCTTTTGTCAGACAAAGTGTACCAAGATTAGCGTTGTCCTTCAAGCATGTACTTGTGGTAATTGGACAAGGTTATCAAAACTGTTATACTATCTTTTTCCTGGAAATACCCAAAGCCTTTGTATTTTAACTACTTAAAGTAGTTACTGCTTGGAATAATAGTTTAGCGTTATGGTCTTATGGAAAGCCTTTTTTTTTTAAAAAAATCATGTTTCATAGCTGAGGAAACTGTTAGATTTTTAGACTCAATCGAAATATGATATTCTGCTAAGTTGCTCTAGAGCTTTCTTCTAAAAATCTCATTTGTGGGGAAATCTAGATTGCATTCCTGGTTTTTTTGACTGATCAAGAATGATTCTCCATCTATCTTGGTCAATTATTTAATTTTGTTTTGCATGTTATATACTTTGCTCCTCAATATATTCTTGAAAGTATTTCCTCCATAGGATACTAAGTTGCTATTTCCTCTTTCTAGATAATGGCAATTGGAACATGTGCTCTTTGCTACAATAATGTGCATGTCTTTGGAGGAGTTGTAAAGATGAGACGTGGTAAGCTACTTTTGTAAGACACACTGTACTTCTCCGAGACTCATCTGTCTTTACCTCAGAAAATGCCTGTGTGTTCTTGATTATATCACCTTATCGCACGTAAGCTTGATGAAATCTATTTTGGAGTTCTGCAAGTGCTTTGCTTTTGTATGTATATTAGTATATACTACATCCCGAGAGAACATATTATGTTTCCTTGATTTCTTTTGATTACTGCTATGTGATTGGTGTTTGATCACTGATGCAATGCATGTTATGCTTTAGGGAGAAATGTGTGTCTCTATCACAACCTCACACCCTTTATTTATAAGAGGCACAGAAGTGCAATTTGAAACATGCAGGGCACCTACTATTGTTTATGCATCTGTTTTGGTTTTGTGGAGAAACATATGCACATGAATGGGGCTGTTTTATCCTTTCCTTACTTTTTTTGGGGGGCAAGTGGATCTGCATCTTACAATTGCCTCTGGTTCATAATCACTAATATAACTAGTATAAAAAACTCCTAGTTTCTGTATCTAATTACTCCCTTTCTTAACATCATGTGACTATTCTATTACTCTGTTTTGTGTACATAATTACCTGACACTTTTTTGCTCTTAGGTCTCACAGCACGAATAATTGATGAGGCAAACTCAATGTCAGACGTCTATACTGCTTTCTATGAGTTTTCTTCATTGATAGAGTCAAAGGTACACTAAAGTACTGATTGTTGATGCAGCCAATATGGAGTCTAGTTGCCTTTATACAAATAGAACATCCATACTATTTATTTATAGCATTCCTTTGTATAATACTATGAAATTTGATAGGATGTAGGTTGATCCGAACGAACTCCACTTAATTGGCTGTTCGCTTGCCACCACTCTTTTGGTTTGTGGTCAGTAAACCATGAGAACTGTGTTCGAAAAAAGTAAATCATGAGAACTTGGGTGAATTAATCGGTCAACCCAACCTGAGCTACTTGCACCACAACAAAATTTATTATATCCATCATCCATCAATATCATTGTATTGGAAGGGCGGGCCTGGTGCAAGCGGTAGAGTCTTACCGCCTGTGACCGGAAGGTCCCGGGTTCGAGTCGCGGTCTCCTCACATTGCACAGGTGAGGGTAAGGCTTGCCACTGACACCCTTCATCCATCAATATCATTGTATTGGAGGGGGCAGTCTGTTATTATACTACTTCCAGTCGAAATTAGTTGCTGTTTCAGACAGCCCAAATCGACCTGCAATTAGTTCATATCTTGCTGTCAGAAATGTCAACAAATCCTGACCAGGGGGGGGGGGGGGTGGGGGGGTATATATATATTAACCAGTTGACCATTTAGACTACATGTTTAGGTTTCGACCTTGAAATCCTTAATCAAGTTCTTCACTCCCACTGTCGTCTACAGAACTCGCCATTGATTTAAGCTGGCAGTGTGTTAATGCTGTCCTAATGGATAAGTATAAGTTTATTTAGAGCAAGTTGCCAGGTCCTGACCACCTTAGTACCATTCTGTGTCTCATTCATGGGGTCAGTCATGGCCTCTAAACTCTAAAAGGCTTCTGGTTGCTGTTCGAAACTTGATGCATATCTGGTTTATGTTCCAGATTGATGACAATGATCCAAATGCTGCTCTGACACGGAGACGTGTGGATTCAATAAAGCAAACTTGCAAGTCATCTGGTTTGGTAAAACGGAGGTACGCCAATAAGAGTTGCACTTCTCTGTTTGGCATCTTCATCCTGGATTCCTGATTGTCTGTCTTGATTCTGTAGGGGATACCATTTGGACAAGTCACCTTACAAGCCCATGCTGGTGAGTAACCCATAATCTGTAAATTCATTTTAGCATGCTGCAATATAATTTGTCAATATTCTTCTGTGATTTCCTCAGATCATGATTGTCCTCGTGCTGGTGGCTATTCTTTTCGGGGTACTGTATACCAAGTGATGCACTTCTAGCTGGCCTTTTCCTATGGAGACTTGAGAGAAACTATGCCAATCTGGTATGGCAAACAATTTGAACAATTTAAACCACGTTGCTTTGAACAATTTTCATTTCCCCCGAGGCTGACTATGTTGCGTTACTGGTTTTGTATAGGTCCTTTTTGTACTCTGTAGTCACCAAAGGATGCAGGAAATTCGGAAGTACTGACTGTATATCGATATCGTTATGGCAGCATGCTACTGCTTCCATGACTCCGTTGCTGCTCTCAATTTGTTTGTTCATTTTATTTTCTTGCGCGGTGTATGGTTTGAAGCTGTTTTAAGTAAGGAAGAAAATGCCACGCGACATGTATCCTACGAACATGTGTTTCTGTTCAGTTAGCAGTGGGCACACTGTATAGTCTTGTGTTGTGTTGACATGCCTTGTTTTCAAAGCTGACGTGTTTGTGTTTACCAGAATTGTGTAGTGGAGAATTTTTTTTTGCCGCGTTGACCTTGAGCAGTCCCTCCAAATTTACACCGTCAATAATTTGCGAAGATTGCGCCTCCTATTTTCTTTCAAATAGACACTACGCCAGCAGTAATATGAGAAGATTACCCATCTTGTATTTTTTTCATCAAAAAGATAATATGCTAAGATATCGTGTACCAAGTATATGCATACAAGTACCTAAAATTGATGCGCAGCCTGACAATTCCAGAACAAATATCATACCGACCTGGCCAAGCTGGCCACTGTACCTCTATTACATCATGTATCGACGACGATGGTATATTGCTCGTAAATGAGTACACGATATAAATAAAGAAACGGAGCCATCTCTAGCACTAACAAGTAGAGACATCAGCAATGCCCAACAAACATACAATCCTTCCTTCTGATGAATAATCAACTGCAATGTAAGGCATTTCCATTTTTATCAGTGGTATAATAATAGCAACGAGACCACCTGAAAATATTAACCAACAACCGAATAATACACATCATCCAAAACTAAGTAACATGAGCAGCAAAGAACATCCCAACTACCCCCACATCGGCAATAACACTCGGTAACAAATAATAGCCCAGCACGAGCAAACAGAGACAGCAATAACCAATAAGCCAATAACCAACCTTCAGTAAGGTATATGGGGACTTTCTCCAGCACCATACCAACCACCCTAGGGTTGACTAACTCAACATCTGTTTTTGGCTAATGCCAACAGAACACATTTCAGTTCAGTTCTCGCTTGACTAGGAATCAGTATCTAGTCCCAGGAACTAGTTGCACCTCCACCATAGCCGCCGCCATATCCACCACCACCATAACCGCCGCCACCATATCCACCACCACCGCCGTTGTATCCTCCTCCACCGCCTCCTCCCCTAAAGTCCCGGTCACGGCGGAAGTCACGGCCACCAAATCGAGCACCACCTGATCGGCGATTTCTACCACCGCCACCACCGTATGAAGAATGGGCAGCATAGTGCTCAAGCCATGTTGGAACCTCTTGGTTAGCCTCCTGCATTAGATCACATAATGGCCTTGCTAGAGATAGGTTGCCCTCATTGAAAAAGGCAGTAGCTAGACCAGATTTCCCTTTCGTCCTGTCCTCCCCAATACGATGAACATAGTCATCTATATCATTTGGGAGGTCAAAATTGATGACATGAGCAACGTGAGGTATGTCAAGTCCACGAGCAGCCACATCAGTTGCAACAAGTATGGGTGTTGCTCCACTCTTGAAGGACCTCAATGCATACTCTCTTTCCTGCACAGACAAAGCACAATGATGTTATGGTAAATATCATGGTATTTCATCACGTGCCATGCAAGAAACTGAATACAGATTTTAGAGAGATGTAATAAGACCAAAATGAATGAAAATATTGACCCCATGTGTGGAATGGTACGTTTAAATATCAATTGCATCTGCATGCCTTGAGAATACCAAATCTGATATCTTATTTTCATAAATCATTTGGTGACCGATTCACGTAAATATACAACATGTCCATTTTTGTAGCATCTTCCTGTTCACGCAGTAAGAAAAATGCCTACATGATGACTTGCTAATTTACCATCTAGAATGAACTGCAACTACAATTGAAGGAGGCAAGTCCGAGCTCTGCTGCACCTGTTGTGTTCGGTCACCGTGAATGCTTGTTGCAGGGAACCCGTTTTTAAACAGCCAGTCCTCCAGAGCATCAGCTCCCCTCTTTGTCTCCACAAATACCAAAGTAAGAGATTGCTGCAGACATCAGAACAAAAGTTGGTGGAAAATTACTGAGATCAGATTAACTATGGTAGTCTACTGTAGTGAAATAGAATTCACAGAACGACACTACATGACTCAAAAGTAAATTGAATCATATGTTGACAAAAAAGCTCTAAATATCTATTCCCTCCATTACAAATTGTAAGACGTTTTGGCTTTTTTAGATATATAGATTTTGCCATGTACTTAGATATACACTATGAAGGGCGGGCCTGGTGCAAGCGGTAGAGTCTTACCGCCTGTGACCGGAAGGTCCCGGGTTCGAGTCGCGGTCTCCTCGCATTGCACAGGCGAGGGTAAGGCTTGCCACTAACACCCTTCCCCAGACCCCGCACAGAGCGGGAGCTCTCTGCACTGGGTACGCCCTTTAGATATACACTATGTGTAGATGCACAGCTAAAGCAATGTATCTAGAAAATCTAAAACATCTTATAATTTGGAACGAAGGGAGTAGTACCTTTCCATGGGTGCCGTTAGCTTTTTGTGCGTGAAGAAGGTCCATAAGGTAACTTCTTTTGTCTGCCTCAAGAACAAACTCAACCCTCTGAGCAATCAAATCAGTACTGGAACCAACTCTTCCAACAGCAAGGAATATGTAATCAGCAAGGAAATCTGAAGCCAGCCGCTGCGCAACAAATTTATGATATTTTCATTAGCAAATCCAGCAAGCCCTTAGGCAAACCTTTTCTTTTCCACTTCATGCAAGAAAGCTAAAATTATTGCATACCAATTATAACTATTATAAGGATACAACAACTGAAAAAAAAATATTTATATTCTAATTGCAAGTGCAATTAATAAACTTGTATAGTAGTAGCCAAAAGAATTTCTGACCATATCTTGCGATATTAAAAATGCTGATATGCATGCATTTTAGCTTACACAGGTTCTGTAAAATGGAAATAGGCATCACTACAGTTGCTAGGAATAAATGATGAAAAAAACTTGATTTCAGGTCCTGCCCATTAACTTTGCAACACTTAACATGACATATCTTCATCAGGGAATGATAATTTTAACAGGCAATAAGGAGCAAAGTTCCAAGTTCCAACTACCTCAACAACTAACCCAGATTGCTAGGCATCTAAAAGGGGCGTGCCGGTCAAAGGCAGAGAGCTCCCGCTCTGTGGGGGTCTGGGAAGGTGTCGATGGCAAGCCTTACCTCGCCTGCAATGCGAGGAGATCTGCGACTCGAACCCGGGACCTTCCGTCACAAAGGTAAGACTCTACCGCTTGCACTAGGCCCGCCCTTCAATAAATAGTAATGGTGTAAACATTATGGAATTTGACATATGATTGAAGCTAGAAGTGTGAATATGGAAAAATACCTGGATTTCTTTTGGAAAAGTAGCACTAAACAGCATAGTCTGCCTCACACCACGAGGGGGCATATCCATCTGTTCAACAATCTTGCGGATCTGTGGCTCAAAGCCCATATCGAGCATTCGATCAGCTTCATCAAGAGTTAAGTACTTTATCATTTGCAGTGACACTCTGGCTCTCTCCAGCAGATCCATCAAGCGACCAGGAGTTGCCACAAGGATTTCTACACCCCTTTCCAGTTCCCTCAGCTACAATAACAGATCAGTACACATTTAACATCTATGTTGTGCAAAAATTCTCATGCAAATATGCTATGGCCAGCACCATCCAATTAATTGCTGATAACTTAGAAGATGCAACCACTTATGAAATGAGTTCACTTATTTACAGCCAGTATAGTTTCTGCACTAGCTTCTACAGAAGAAAGGCCATTACAACGATTTGTTACTAATAAGAATGGGCTAAAACCCTGTGTCATATATAATTGACAATCTTTTTATTTTATTCTAATACTAGATACTAGAGTTCTTAGATTTAGCAAAGCTGTTCCTACCCTAAGCCTCCTAATCCCATACAATTGCACACACAAAAAAAAAGTGATAGCATGGAAGTTTTTTCCCCTATCAGATGTGCTTCCTGGTCCTGAGAATCTTGTTGACACATAGCCATTAACTTCACTACAGAAAGTATGCACCACTAATTTCAGTGATATATTAGAAAAAAAGGAAAAGGATCGCGGAAAGCACAACTAGGATTGTTTGGAAATTTTCCATTTCAATGTGGTGAATTAAAACCAGTGTCTATTAACACCGTGCATTGCTCTTTGGCTACTTCCTAAGAATTATAATTAATTGATGCATCATTGCAAGCTAATCAGCATAACTATCACTATGTTTTATGCTATCAGACAAGACAAGCGAACTTGATATGCCAACAAATCAAACGAATTCAGGGAGGCAACCAAAAAACTATGAGACCCATCATGTAATTACCAATGTGAACAAAACTTATATTTCAAAAAAAAAGCTAAACCTGCTGATGTATTGGTGCTCCACCATATGCAACAACCACCCTCAGCCCTGTTTGGTATGAAAACTTCCTTGCTTCTTCATGAATCTGAGGTTACATAAAATACAGAATCAGAATCAGAAATCAAATAAAAATCAACAATAAGAAAAGAAACAAAAAGGATAACCTGAATGACAACATACTTGCATAGATAGCTCACGAGTAGGGGATAGTATCAGCGCCAGAGGGCAAGCAGTCCTGGAACCTCGCCTCTGGGGTGGCCTTGAGTCCCTTGACTTCAAGATCCCACTAATGATAGGGAAACAGAAGGCTGCAGTCTTTCCAGACCCTGTCTGTGCACAAGCCATGAGGTCCCGACCTGCATTGGCGATAGGAATGGCATGTCGCTGT